AAGTGTGTGAGGTTGGTGAAGTAAGTGGAGGTTGTAGGTGAAGTAGGTGGATGTTGTAGGTGAAGTAAGTGTGTGAGGTTGGTGAAGTAAGTGGAGGTTGTAGGTGAAGTAGGTGGATGTTGTAGGTGAAGTAAGTGTGTGGTGTAGCTTTCAGGTTTGCTATAAATACCCAAGTCCCCAAGCATTGTATATCATCCAAGGAAAAACAAAGCCTAGAGCTAAATAAGAAAACTTTGCTAATTAGTTTGTTTTGTGAGCTTTCTTTAAGAGTGTGCTCTATTTTCTTCTTCTTGGGATCATTAGAGTTATCTTGGATACTCTTCTTATTCAACATTGCAGCCAATGTAACTCCCAAAAAATTTGTGACATAGGATTCAACAACCAAGACTTGAAGTTTGCTGAAACTTTCCCAATCGTGAATCGAATACACATTCACACTAGTGAGAGGCCTACACAAAAAAAGAACACCGGGAGAAGAAATTCGGAGACTATGAATTCTGTCTTTTTTATCAATGCTGTACCAAGAGGTGGTCCATTTGGTACGACTAACCCTAGAATTATAGCACCCGTAGTAGGCTTTGTGCCTAAGGCATCGGTGATAAATGCCATGACTAGAACTCCAAGTTGTATTTGCAACCACATAAGTTTCACTCACTTCTTTTCCTTTGTGTATTTTCTTGATTATTGAAAGTATAGTCGGCCTTATGACATAGATAGTGAAAGACAGCAAGGCCAACAAGGAAAGCAAGGCCTCAATTCCGTAGCTTTCTTGGCTGTATATGTAATGTATTGCCATGAAGGACCACTGAATCACATCGTTGAGCATGGCAGAAGACAAGGCGAGTTGCCCCAACTCGGAAGTCATGAGGTTGAGTTCATCCAAGGCCTCAGCCACGGTAGGAAAATAAGTGAAGGATAAAGAAAATGTAGTAAGGAAAAGAAAGAGTATCCCTCCTGTGAGTCCTGGAATGGATCGGGCTAGTGGGTAGACGAGGCTTGAGGTAACAGCGCTTGGAAAAAGGAAGCCTACTAGACCAATCTTCCAGGCATTCTCTTGTGTCCTTCTAACCATGGCTAGGTCAATTTTCAATGTAATTAGGAAGGTGGAATATATTGCGCCCAGCTCAGCTACTTTGTCAACCAATGGAAACTCTCTTCCTTTGAACACCAGTTTGTCCTTAAATGCCTTATGATGCCCCAAAAGAGAGGGACCCCATATAACCACCCTGAAAAAAAATGAGGCAAAAAATGGTGGGATCAAATTAAATTTGTAACAAGGATAAAAAATTGAAAAATTACACCCCGGAAAAAAACTTCAAATTAGATTACGCCAATTCAGACACGATAGTTTATTAGTCTTAGCATGGGAGCTTGATGGCCATACCAGTAGATTGCAGACAAATTTGGTTTGTCCAGAAGGCCTAAGAAAATAATAAGGCACCCGAGAGATGGTGACGATGAGGATGATTTGAGCCATCATCAGAGAATATGGATAATCTAGAGGATTATCTTCTCACCCCCCAACACACCCCACCTCCCCACGCGCCCCACCCCCCCCCCCCCCCCCCCCCCCCCCAAATGGCGCCGCTGGAAGCAATTGCCTGCTGAGGTATGCAAACTCTTTCATCACCATGTTTCACACGGTGGGAGTGAAGGTAACTGCTTAAGGCATCCATTGTTTGTACCTCGATCCGACCTGATACAGAAAATCCTCAATCCCCACCTTTACATGATCATCTCAAATATTGATTTGAGGTTTGTACGTTTAATCGTGATCTCGACCCTGTGAATCATCCAAAAAATTTGAAAATGAAACTCGGTATTAATAAGGCCATCTCAGAAAATCGACGGACGTTGACATAATCAGTCAAATATGGGAACAGAAAGAATTGGTAGTTGTTACAGTTGAAAAAAAAAAAAAAAAAAAAAAGCTTCAGTTTCCAGGGAAGATAACAAAATCAGGTTTCAAAATTCGGCTTAAATCCAAACACTCCAACAGAAAGAGTTGGTAAGTTGTTCCAACTGGTTTCAGATAATTTATACTTGGAGATATTAGCCAGAAGTCGGTTATCGATCATGATCTGGAGATCTGTTCAAATCTTTGTAATTAACATGATAACACCAATGAAAAGCATTTCTCGTTCATGTGAAATCTAAATTATCTGACTTGCAGTACAAGCTACAGGTAAAACCCAATAAATCACTTTTTACAACAAACATCAATCCCTAAGGCAATGTATACAATGTTTACCTTACCTAGTTTACAACATTCTTCTCTAGAAATAATTTGTGCAAAATGAATTAAATAAACTAGCTAGGGGAAAGGAGAAACTTAACTAGCCGCGAGCTGTTCCTCCTCTGCCTACCTCCTACAATGCATTGCCAAAATTTTGGTAAATATAACGAGTGTTTAAAATATTGGTATCTTTGAGTCGATATGCAAATTTACAGAAATATCAATGAATACTGACATCAATTGGCTTCGGTGGAAATGATGAAAATTTGTTAAAAAACATGAAATCAAAGATAAAACTTTAGCAAATGTTATATTTATCAAAATTAATTCAAACGAGAACAATCTCAACAGAAATCCACTCCAACTAATGTAATTAGTTGATTCTCCATTAATATAAAATGATATTAACATAAATAATAAAGATAATAAAAGATTTGAAACTCCAAGTCGGCAATACAGATACACGACTTGAAGATGGAGGCCTGCAACAAAGAAATCCCGCAGACTTAAAGGTGGAGAGATTAGGTGTTAATCTGAAGATGTAAAGCTCTAATTTTGGGTGGGTATCAACTCATTCACCTTATTCAGTTTAAATTTAGTTGAAAAATCTCTTAAAGAAATTTTAAAATTTTAGAATCTTCAATTTGTTTCATCAAAATTTTCACAGTGAATAGGTAAATATTTTCAATATTCACTGATTTTCTAGTATCTCGCTGCAAAAGGTGAAAGTCTGCATTTTACCTCCTGTTTTCATATCGATTCTAATTTTTTTTAAATATTTTGACAATTTCGTCGATATTTTAAAAACTGTATATAACACAAATTTTGTGACATGAGGAATAAATTGTTACCCATGAAACTTAAATTTACTTTCCGACCCTTTCATGGAGCCACTACGAAAAGCTCCGTTGCTCAATTCCTTGCTTTCTTGCAAAACTAACACATTCACCATTCCCCCGCAAAAATCCGGGGAAGCAAGCATGTCACCTATCACTCCCAGTTCCGGATTCTGCACAAATTCTGTCATTTCTTCATCCCTCAATAAAATATCCGTGTGCCGCCTCCCAACCAACACAAGATCATAATCCCCTTGCGAGTTCCTAATGGCGTCCATGAGCTGCACACTATCATCCACCTCGATATCTCGCCAGATCACACAATCATTCCCAATGTTCCTTATCTTAAACTCGTCCACCAATGCCTGGTCGAGTATCTCTTCTGTCTCCTCATCCTTGTTGGCTGCAATTACTTTATTCTGCAGTACAAACCTGAACACCGTGATGCCCACGTCCGGGTTGCCAGACATGCGCCAAGCGTAGGCCAATGCTTCGCGATCATCTGGCCCGCCAATAAAAAACACTGCCACATTGTAGGAAAAGTGGGACACGCTTAACCGAGTTGACAAGCCTCTTTCGACTAGTAATCCAACTGTAGAGGGGGAATAATTTTGTACATGGATGTTGAATTGGCGTATCGCTGTCGTGACAGTGGCGCCAACAATATACTGGTGGTTTTCATGGAATGGTAAGAGAATCAGAGGTATGTTATTGTCCTCCACTAGACGGCAAACGGTCTCATGCATTGATTTGTAAGGGGCGATCATAGTGAATGCTTGGATGGAAACCGGTCCTTTTGAGTTCATTGAGTAATTCCAAAAGGCTCGCATCATTTGATGTGTGGGTGAATTTGAGCGCTTTAATTTCTTATTTCCTTCCTCCTGATACTTCTTCTTGTAAGGGACTAGTAGGGGTGCCGCTCGGCCAATGAGCTCGACAGCGCGGACAACGTAGGTGATTAGGGGGCTCGCATCGGTTGGATTAGACGATTCTAGGAGGGTGGTGATGCTACAGACACTTTCCTCATTGTGGACACAACAAAGAATACTGAACTCCAGGTAGTTTCGAGCTGACTGGATGTTTCTGATGCGTAAGTTTTTTGTTGATGGTCCAAGTCGTGTTTGTGGCTGGTATAAGAATCGAACCACCGGTGTTGCGATCATGGTCACCGTGAGCATAGAGAGCACGATTTGAGTATAGGATTGTTCATCCATCAGCTGCACGTAATATTTAGAAAAGTTAGATTGTCATCCTCAAAATCTAATATTCTTTCATTAAATCCGAGAGTTAGAACGAATTGTGATTTTACGAGTTAGAGATGCATAAATTTACTAGCACACTGTTTAATACATATTGGTCTTATATACAATAGTTGACACCTCTAAAGAGAGTGTGTCACTAAATGTGTCAGTTTTATGCGTTTTAATAGAATTATTGAAAAGAAAAAGAATTCATTGTGATATTGTTACTTACCATACTGGACCTCCATCGAGTAAGAAGGACAATATCTACGACACCCTTGATGGTCAATATCAATCCTAGCAAAAGGCTATTTTTAAACCTAACTTTGCAGAACAATGCAGCAACTGTAACTGTAACAATCTTTGCTCCATACGTCAAACAAATAACAAGCTGAAGTTTGCCAAAGCTTTCCCAATCGCTAAAGGAAAACACATCAACCATGAATCCAACACGGAAAAAGAGCACTGGAAGAAGAAATTCGGAGACCACAAACTCCGTCTTCTGTATTAATGTTGCACCAAGAGGTGGTCCGTCTGGTATGACTAGCCCAAAAAGTATAGGGCCGGTAACTGGAGTTGCACCTATGGCATCGGAGACCAATGCCATGGCCAAAACCCCAACCAGTATAGCGACCACGTAACCCTCCTTCACTTCTTTTCCTTCGGGCGTTTTTTTAACCACTAGTAGTACAAGCGGTCTTAAAAATGAGAAATTGAAAATCGTCAAGGCCATCACCGAAACCAAAGCCATAACTCCGTGGCTCGGATTTCTTTTTGAGAACACAATTTGTGCAACCGTGGACAACCACTGGATGGCTTCAGTGACCAAAGAAGACGACATGGCGAGTTGACCTAGCTCGGAAGTCATGAGGTTGAGTTCACTCAGGGCCTGAGCTATGACCGGGAAGAAAGTGAAGGAGAAAGTAGAGAAACTAAAATAGAGGAAGAATGTTCCTCCTTTGAGTCCGGGAAGAGTGGTGCCTATTGGGTGAACTAGAGATAGGGTTATTACTAAGGGAATAATAAAACCAGGCAGACCAATTTTCCAAGCATTCCTTGCAGTCCTTCTCACCATGTTTTTGTCAAATTTCACCGCGATTATAAACATGGAGTATACTGCGCCCATTAGAGCTATTACCTCAAACACAGAAGCATCTTTTGCTCTGAACAGCTTCTCCCTTACTACCTTTGTTTTCCCTAGCGCTGAGGGCCCCAATATAATGCCACCCTGCAAAAACAAAAACTTGAAGTTAAATTATTTATGGAGACTTCAATCTAACTATGACTTTGTCACAAACTTGATTAAACTATGATATACCAATATTATATTATCCAACTATTAATTTCAGGACAGAAATATTGGATGGTTGACTTCAACTATACAACCTGCTCCTAAATTATGAAAAAACAGTAACGACCTCTAGAAATTACCGAATAAAACAAAAAAAAAAAAAACCTAATTAATAACGTACCCAACCGAATTTGCAAAGTTGATTCAATCCTGGTTGATTTTTGACCATGTCCATGAATAAAATTATTAGAACAAAAAAAATAAATAGAAACAACAAGATTATTTGCAGGCATAACATAAGCAAGCCTTTATTTCCTAGTGACAGATATTATGAATGCTTGACATGGACTAAGCATATGAAATTGCAGACAAACCGAAAACCCAGAAAAATATAAGCATGCACGTGATGTATTATTTTTTTATATAAATACCAGGAGATTGCAGACAAATTTGGTTTGTCCCAAAGGCCTCAGAAGATAATAAAGCGCTCGAGAGATGACAACGACGAGGACGATTTGAGCCATTGTTAGAGGAAGTGGATAGTCTAAAGGATTGTCTTTCCTCCATATACCTTTGGAGGTGACGGCTTGTTGTTTCATGCAAAAGATTGGAGCTTCCGGCTTCCCCGGTGGGGGGGTTTCAACTCCATTCGTCGCCATTCTTGTTAATTTGTAAATATCAACCTCCCAAAAATTGATCGCAAATAGTGTTATTAATCTTGAGTCAATCACGCCTTGCCAATTCGAAGCGCCGAACGACTGTACTAATTGATTCCTAGGGTTGATCGTGATCCCGGCCGACAACTCTATGAATCGTCCGAAAACGAGTAGGAAGTGAAATTCACTACCAAGGTGACAACCACGCCTGCCCACCACCACCACAACCGCCGTAGGCGTTTAGTATCTAGGGCTGATCGGAATTGGAATGTGTTGATTTTTGGCCTTGGGGTCAGCCGCGCGGTAAAAGTCGTTGCAGAAGGTGCGGTTATCATTTTATGAGAAAGGTTTGGTCAATTTCATCCGCAAGTTATTTGGTGAACTATTTTATCTGCATTAACCTATTACTTTTTCAAAATATTTATGAGCTTTTTTCAGCAAAAAAAAAAAGATTGTTTATAAATAAAATAAATAAAAACTTCGTACTTATTACATGCAAGGTCCATCATTTTCCTAATGTGGAATTTCCTCTCAACGTGCCCCTCACGTGTGTGGTAAATTTTCAATCCTAACACGTGGACAACACAAATTGGATGACGTAAATCGCGTGTGACCATTGTGCTTCACATGTAGACAGGTAGCTCTAATTCCATGAAGATAGTTGAGGTTTCATTATAAAACTAATTGGCAATGTGGGATATAGCCCAATTACTTATAAGAACATGCAAAGTCCCTCCTTTATCCGATATGAGATTCACTCTCAACAATTGAAAAAAAAAAAAACACATTTATAGATAGAAGGAAGGAAACAAATTAAATTAATGATCAAAGGAATGGAGAGAAGTACAGGAATAACGACCGGTGATTGTAGCTCATCTAGTTAAAACATTATTTACATATGCACTCAAGGTTCTAAGTTTAATTCCCCACCGCCACCTATCGCTTGTATACAAAAAAGAACAACAATACTTAGAATAAATAATAAGAAATAACAATTGGATCAACTAATCCCCTAATTGGCCTAAATCCTCGTTTTGAAGTGTTTTTATTTAGGAACTGTTATTGGCACTTCAAAATCTTATCTTGTGTAATTTTTCTTTCTAATTACAGAAAATTTAGAGTGTAAAATGAAATTTTTGAGTGCCAATTGCAATTCTCTTTTATTTATTCTTTTATTTTTGGAATTTTGAGTTATTCCAATAGAAAAGCCCAAAATAGATTATCAAAACAAAATAGAAAACCCTAATAGGCTCAGTTCATTGAAAAGCCCAAACACATAGATGCCCAAAGCCGAAATCAAATCAAACACATACTCATACATTTTATTTTATCTTTTAATTTGAACAAGGGAAAACACGCAAACACGCAGATGCCCAAAGCCTCCTTCAAACTTTGTCTCGCCGCTGCGTCAGCAAACACGCAAGCTGCCACCTCATCACTTTGTTAAACTCCAGCGTACACCATGGATTTGGATCCGGAATAGGATCCTTTTTGTGGGGATCTGGATGATTAATCAATTGTGTTCATTCATGATATATCGTGCGGTTAGAAATTACTTTTAATTTTTAATTTAAAATTGAATATAAATAGTACATAACTAAAACTGACCGTACGATGTACGATGATCGGACACGATTGATTAATCTCTAGATCCCCATAAAGAGGATCCGGAGAGGATCCTTGTCCTTTGGTTTCCATCCAGATTCAAATTGTGGGAATCTAGGGATCCTCATAGCTTAGCCATTTATCGTGTATCGTGTGATCATAAATCATTTGTCTTTTTTTATTTAGAATTAAACACAAATAATAGCTGAAGAAAACTGACTGCACAATATAAAATAAAGAATTAAAGTGTAAAGATTCCTAAAATCGCGACAAAGTAAATTCGCAGAATATCCTCTTTCCGCACACCATGACCCAATCGCTTACAGTGCTCAATTCTCCACCACACGGAATTGAACATGTCACTCATGACATGATTAAGTTACTCGTCCAAAGTGAACTAAAATCGCCACGTTGCCCTACACATTGTGCGACACGTGGTGTGCATGCAAGAAGTCGACGAGGAAGACAGGATAACATAATACTGTCCGAAGGAGAGAGACATGCTGTTTACAGTTACTCTTCGTTTTCCCTTGGTAGTGAAAAATGGGTCGTGGTTGAGCCCTTGGGGTTGAGAAGAATTACGATGCAATTCGCACCTCGATGCCGTTAATCATGCAAAAAAACAATTTAACGTGAAAAATGTCAAAAATTAAAAAACTTCAGGATAATAAATTAAGTATCCTAAATAAAACATTCATACAGAAGTGCAATAGAAAGAGAGCAAAAGATGAAGAACTTACCCTATGTCGAATTTCATCAGAAAATAAATTGATGGTGATTCATATTTTTTTTTCCCTTGGTAAAGCAGCACAGCTTTGTCGAATAGAGGAGAGCATGGGAAGCAGGAGAATCCTAATTATGTTTTAATTTACCATTTTTATTTTTAGCTTAAAAATAATAAAAATAACATATAGGCTTTCTACCCATTCGTCATGGTTCAAAACTCTCCTCCTTCTCTAAATATTGTAATAGTTTTAAATTTTTCTGCCATTAATAATATAGTTGTTTTATTGGCACCTCATATATTGATAAATACACCCCACATAAAATTTAAATATCAAATGCTTTGTATGCTCTAATATGAAATGACTTACATGCCCTAATTCTTATTTCTCTCACCACTTTGGCTTTTGGTTATTCTAATCATCCAGTTCTAAAAATTTGCCAACAATTTCATCCGGGATTTGTTCAAGTTGATTAAAAAACCTGTTTAATTTTTAGGGAAACTTTGGTGTTTGAATATGTGGGGTGCTGTAAAAAATGGTGACATAAAATTTGGGGTTGTTGCAAGCATTATGTATTGGACCATGTTAATGGAGCATTCATGCATTCAAAAAAGACAAGCCTCAATTTTTCTTCCCAGAAGCTGCTTTTCTCAGAGAAAGGGTTTTTAGGAGCCCTTGAGATGAGCAGCTTCTTAGTGCATTGCCTCCTGAGAGTTACAATTTAAGAGTTGCATTTCTTGTTTTGAAATTGATTTCTCCTCGGATATGCTCTAGTATGATAGTAAGTGAGATGTGAGGGTAATTTAAGTGAGTAAATGAGATGTATTAAGATAATGTTTTGTTTAAAAAGTAAGTGTAGAGTTTTTTTAGTATGTGAGATGTAAAAAGCAATTTGTGAAGTGCTAATAAAAAAAAATCTTAATAATAATAATTAAAAAAAAAATCCCATAAGATAAGAACTGAAAAAGCCCACAGCAAGCACGCATTAGCTGTTCTGTGGCACAATCGCAAATTTCCGAATCCAGCCAGAAGCGCCACGACGCAACTAGAAAATCGCCACGTCATCACATAAATATCTAGAGGAAGGTTATAAATATCTGTCACAGGCTCACAGCGAGCAATCCCAAAGAATTCTGGATTCGATCAACTTGGAAGCTTAAAGAGCAGCAAAGCGCAAAAAGCAACCACCAAAAAAAGGCAGAAATTACAGTCGACCGGAAGGAGAAAACGCTAAAACGCGTCTGAAGTTGTCGTATAGATTCGAGAAAGTCGAAGACTGCGGTGCCAATCGGGAAGTTTGTGACGACTCAGGAGATTCCGAGGTTGGTTGAGTTTTGAGCCGTTTTGATTTCATTTCCTTTTTGCTTGATGAAATTGTCTGTTTCGTTTCTCGATTAGGGATTGCGTATCTGTTTTCTAAATTGATGTTTTATCGGCGGACTTGGGACCCAAGAAAGCTCAGAGTCCTGGTTCAATTTTGATTTGGTGTATTTGGGTCTTCGTGCTTGTGTGATTGGAACCGCAATTTGCTTTCGAGAGTTTTTGTACCCAGTTCTTAATTGGAATTTGGTTCGTGTTACCGCAGATTGTGCATAATAGAGGAGTAATGGGAGCGTATGATCAAGGCGCTAACATGTCATCTCTGCCCTTGGATTCTTCAAGGAAGAGGAAGACGCGGAGCAGGCGAGATGGGAACTCTGTTGCTGAGACACTAGAAAAGTGGAAAGAGTACAATAAGAAACTGGAATCGGGTAATAACGAGGGGAAAACGCGTAAAGTGCCCGCCAAGGGGTCGAAGAAAGGCTGTATGAAAGGCAAGGGAGGGCCTGAGAATGCACGTTGCAATTACAGAGGTGTAAGGCAAAGGACTTGGGGCAAGTGGGTCGCCGAGATTCGGGAGCCAGACAGGGGAAGCAGGCTTTGGTTAGGTACTTTTCCCACTGCCATTGATGCTGCCCTTGCGTATGATGAGGCTGCCAAGGCCATGTATGGTGCTGGTGCTCGCCTCAACCTCCCGCATGCGGCCAATTATCATCCATCGTCTTCACTGGAGACTTCTTCAGTTGCAACACCATCAGGGTCTTCTGCAGTGGCAACTCCAGGATGCTCGACTCCCACTTCAACCTCAAGTCGCTCTGAGGTTTGTGGAGACGAGGATTCCAAGCTTTTTCTTAATGTGAAAAACGAGGATGGTGAGGGCGAGTCAAGGATGTATCCGTGGTCTACTGCGGTCCCTCAAGCCAGTGGTATGGTTAAGCCAGAAATCATTGAGGACTTCACCATGGATTATCTTCGTAATAATCAACAACAACCTGTCGTCAAACCGGAAGCAGGAGTTGAGGATCATAATTGGAATGGCGGAGATGGTTTTATTGGGGATTATTCGGAGAACTTCACAACCGACGAGTTGTTTGATATGGATGAGATGTTTGACGTAAATGAGCTGTTGATGCCTTCAGATGATATTTCCCTTTGCAATTCAGGATCGGAGCAAGTTTGGAGAGCTGACGTTGGTCAGTCGGGCATGGAGACTCTCAGCAGTGAGAGGCCATCAAATTTGTTGTACCAGCTGCAGTTTCCAGACGCCAAGCTGCTCGGGAGTCTGCAGCACATGGAGCATGCCCCATTGAACTTCGAATACGGTTTTGATTTCAAGAAGCAAGAAAAGGAGGGGAGTAATCATACCGGCCAAGATGATCAAGGGTGCTTCAATCTGGGGTTGTCCGACTTAGATTGGGGAGGATTCACAGGAGGAATAACACAATCCGGAGATGGAGGTTACAACTATTCGATGGAAATGTGAAGGCCAAGTTGGGTGGGGGATTTATTAGTCTTTCCCATGACTTCGCTGTAATCCGCTCCCGGATTACCAAATCCCCGGATTCCGAAAGCAAAGAAACAGATTGTGGTGTTGATGAACTGCCCTTGTGCTTGATTTCAATTTTGTTTTGGAGATTTTGAGCTATGGTACAGGTCTGTTATACATGCCTTGCCATTCTATGCCGTTCTATGTTGAAGGGTTGATGGACAACTTGGCAATGCTATACATATATATATATATATATATGTACATATTAACTAAAAATTCTTTCATTGTGGAGTGTAGATAGGAGGAAGAAAAAGGAACTTGAAAATAGTTGAAACATCATAGTCATGGGAAATACAGACCTTTTGTGCTTTTTTTACTCTTCTGTGGCTGTTATCTTCTTCTTCTTGTCCTGTTTTCTGTTTATATACACTACGGAATTGAGCTTGTGAATAGTTGGTGTCAGTTCCTCTTTTTGGTATACGATTGAGTTTTCAATGGTGCTGTACCTGTAACAATAGTGCTTTCAGGCTAAACCGCTTAACATAGCTTTTCAGAACATTCGAATTGATACTTTTTTTTTTTTTTAATGATAAGAGTTGATAATGATCTTGGTACTTCTAAGTTTATCTCTAACTCTTTGAGTAAAACCTAAAATTTTTAGTCTAGAAAATTTTGGTTTTAATCTAGAAACAGTTTTTCTGCTCCAACTCTTCAGACCTTAATTTTTTAGCCCGACATTATTAAAGAATAAATTTAGGCTAATTTTTTTTTATAAGTACTTTTTTTTAAAAAAAAAAATTATGTACACTATCATTATTTAATTTTATGAACATTTTAACATAAAAATATTTCGATTCCGATAAATATTGAAAAATTACTAAATTTGGGTGAATTTTGAATTAAATAATTTTTTTAATTATTTTACCCATTAAATTTAAATTTGGACCGTTATATCTTTTTTTATACCGTTGGATTTTATCATATTAGATATCAATCGTTGGATTTAATAAATATGTCAATATAAAATAAACAAAACAAAAATTTGAATGTGGACCGTTGGATGAACCAACGACCCATTTAAACGTCTCCACACGGTAATAAAAAAAGAGCCGTTAGGCTCATGATAATCTTGGGAGGAATTTGAGTTTTGTTTAGGTTTTAACACTTGACTTGATTTTAGAACTAGGGCTAGAGAGATTTTTTTTTTTTTTTTTTTTTTTTGGGGTGGGAGTGGGGAGGGGTGTGAGGAATAGAAGGGAAAATTTAGAGAGTTGGTCTAACAAGAGTGCTTTTACGAAAACCGCTTGTTTTTGCTTCCGTTCTGAAGTTTTTCATTGTGGAATATGGATCGCTGCAAGTGTGAAGTTGAGTTTGATTTGTGTTCAACACAGCTTTTATTGGAAACTAATAGGAGGAAGACAAACACGATGCCTTGACTTCTGTTTTTGGTTAAAATCCTTTGGAATTATTTGAGAGATCTTTAATTCGAGCACATACAAAGCGTTATTTGTAATAGGGCCCACACCATCATGTACTAGCCACATGTGTTGATGGGGCCTATAGAGACATAATGCAAATGATAATATAAATAGATTATAAGTATAGCATTACTCATCAAGTTATTTACAAGTTTTACGAAATACGAATTGAACGTAACACCCAAAAACAAACAACAAAAGGAGGGTAAGCCTGAACCATCAAAATAACCAAAAATAAGAGCAACAAATCCTATCGAGGAAAAGATGGATGCATTAAAAATGGGTAAATTGCATAAAACTATTTCAACTATGGGTTAAATTACAATCTCATACCTTATTTTTAAACATAGCAATATCATACATCAGCTTATGAATCAAAGAAAAAATTTTTGCACATGCCTCAAACTGTGATTATTTTGTAAAGAGAAACAAGTCCTTACGTATGAGGAGCCATTTATTTTTCCCCCAACTGAAGCCCCGTCCTATTTATTGAATTCTTCAAAGACAACTAAAAACAATGAAGTTGTAAGAACAGTACCATCTGCCACGTGAAGGGGAGTGGGTTTGAAAGTTTGAAGACAATCAAGTTGCTGGAAGTGGGTGGAAAATTAGGAAGAAAAAAAAAGAAAGAAAGGACAAAAAGTAAAGTTCAGACGCATGGAATCACGCTAAAAGTTGTAAGTAAATTAAAATGGAGAAGCCGCAACTACTTGGAAGGTGAGAAGAAGATGGCAGAAATTGAAGTTTGAGCAGCCTGCAGGTGATAAAATAGAACCTAGTTGAGTTGATGGTGCATTTGGGACAGGATTATTTACTCAACTAGCCACCAAAATAATAGGCCAAATAGTTCCTCTCTGTGGGCGTGCAGCAGTTTCAGATTTTAAACCATTTGAGATAAATTTATCTTGGTTGGTAGTTTATAAGAAAATAATATTACGTAATTTACAATTCTTTGATAAAAAAAAATAGGCAATTTATAGTTTGGTGAAACCTCAAATAATTAAAGAAAGAGATTAGGAACATGTTTGAAAATAATAGAGTTTTGGAATGTCTAGAACTAACAAAAGAAAACTCTTTTTACAGACAACGAAATGCGATTTTGAATGCTAAAATTTTTGTTTTTTTTGTGTTCTTTTGCAGAGGGTTAAGAAATTGAGGTCTATTGTAAAACTAATTTGATAATATGGAGAATACTTTTCTTTTTTTTTTTTCTTAAAAAAGAGACTAGTTGGTGGTTTCGACATGGCAATCCACCATTCGGGGGACATGGAAGACTCACAGAGACATTTCAGCCACCTTTTGACCACCTTCGTGCAATTCACCAATGCCAGCTAGGAATCAAACCTAGGACGTGCTATGTGAAATACCAGTCTGAAATTCGTCCCCAACCATTGGACCACCCCTTAGTGGTTGCAATATGGGAAGTACTAGCCCAATTACTTATAAGCAAATATTTGGTCCCTCCTTTCCCTAATGTAAGATTTATACTCTCAACAAATGTGCTTCATTATTATTCATAAAATATATCCGAGTACTACTCAATGGAGCACTTGAATTTTAATAAAAATGTAGTATGTCGTGATTTCATAAAAAAGCTTCTAACAAAAAACTTATTATGTCAATCCAAATTATGTTATGACTTTTTTATAGGAAATATGATGAATCTAGCTACAACCATGGATAAATCTAGTACTAAACTAAAAAAAAAAAAAATAGTTTATATTATCAGTTGTAAACCGAACATTTCCATACGTAGCTAGATGAAGCAGCAGATGCTAAGTCTGATACGAAATTAAAAGTTATTGGTGGATAATGTTGTGTGGATTTAGATGATGAAATTTGCTGCCGGTCAATACGGATGTCGAGTAGTAGTGGATAGTTGAATTCAGCAAAAGGGACCTTCATTGGTGGAGGTTCTAAAGATGATCTGATAGATAAGTTTGGTGAAGGTGGTGAATATGTCATATACCCAATATAATGGCGATGATAATTCGAAAAGTATCTTCACACAAGTACGATTATGATAATACAAGAAATGTTAGATAAGGATTATATACTTGCAAGTAAAATTATGTTGGAAAATGCTTCTCTTTTTCTTAAAAAATGATGAAAAATGTTTCAGAATTCAATTCCTTTGCTAATTCTATACATCCACCTAATTGTTTTGCTAATCCCCAACTTTAGAGAAAAAAAAATGGTTTTGATTAACATAATCAAAATCATATTTTCTTCGTCTGATTAATTGACATATGAGTTACAAGTTATAACATAACCAAAAATTGTTTGCTAAACCAAAATAGATGTGTCACTTAACAATATAACTCGAAAGTATGAGTTCAGTGTAGTATCTATAAAAAAGAGACGTAAATTAAGGTTGACAAAATAATTAAGAAGGAAAAATGTACAATAAAAAGAAATCTTGAATTAAATAACAAAAAAATCCTAAAACATAGAGGTTGCGTTCCATCTTCAAGCTACATTTGCAATTTTGTTAAATTTTATTCGCTTTTGTAACCGAATTAAGGTGCAACGAGGTACTCTAAGAGAGAGTGGGGACTTCAAACTTACAAGATGTTGAAGAGGTAAAATCAAATCATTAAATCCAGTTATTTCTCCATTTCTCCTCCTTTTTGGTACTTGTAAATGAAAGAACTTCTCTTAGCAAATTAAGTCAATTGATTAACACTATACCGTCGAACTTTCTCTTTTTTTTTTCTTTTTTTTTTTAATATAAAAAAAAAATTAGCATTATGGTATTGTAAGTTTGCACAATGCCTGACTTTAACTCATAGACTAGTAGTATTACTGTATTAGTATAACTGTCCGGCCTATTTCTTGTTTAAGAAATTAAGTTTCTAAGTTTGACTCCTAATAATATTGTATGAAAAGACTAAATTGCATTGGATGAAGAAATAGCTAAGATAAAAAAAAAAATGGAAGCATATAAAATTCGGCATGCACGATACAATATGCTTGAATCATCTTTTCTAACGGTTGATAGGCACTCGTTTTAGAAGAGTTTATAAACCCTATTTTACATAGAAAAATATATATATATATATATATACATGTATATATATAAATTAAATTAAAGAGGCCATTGTGTGGGGGTGGGGTAATTGGATCACCTAATAAAAGTTTAACAGAAAAGTGCAAGGTTGAATACAGAAGAATCAACAAGCAAATTTAAAAAATGTTTAGAATAAAGAAAAAGAACAAGAAATTAGTTATATAAAAAAAACAAGTGGCAAAAGTTGTAGTTGGAAATCAAGAAAATGGATAAATAAATAAACCAAGTCCAAAGAAAATAGTTGCAAGTTGAGCATCCACTTGCGAGGCCGGCGTAATGTTTGTGATCAACATCATCACTCCCTCCAACCCCAATCCCTATTTCTGTCTCTTCCATACATTTAGAACATGATCGTGTCATGTAACTCATGTTAATATTATTTCACCCAAATTACCGTGTTAATATGTTATTTTTTAGTCTACCATCAAAATAATAGAGCATATCAATTATATCTTCGATTGAAGTAATAAGACATACAAATTATGTTATCAATCAAAGTAGTAAAATATATCAATTATAACATGTAAAATAGTACAAAACGTAACTTGTTCGCAGTATTCATAAAAATTTCTCTCTCACTCTTATCTCTTTTTGTCCGAGGAAACAGCAAAAAATAATCCAAGTGGAACTCATCGCCAGCTTAAACAACTAATACCCTCTCTCTCTCTCTCCCTCCCTCCCTATGCCCCCCCCCCATCTCTCTGCCCATAATATATAATGATCATATCTAAACTTTGAACCCAGCCCCTTGTCAACAAATACATAGAGAGAAACACAACACCAAAAGCAAATGCCTTCACCAATCCAATTTCAAAGACCAATCAACCCTCCTAATTATCACCACCCCACAAACACAATCCACCACAAACAATTCCAATCCCAGCCAGTCGCCGCCTCAGTCGACCTCACACGCCACCACTCCCTCGTGATGGCTCCCAACCAGTGCTGTTCTTCCGTCGTGCAATCCATCGAGGCACCCGTCCCGACTGTCTGGTCCGTCGTGCGGCGCTTCGACAACCCGCAAGCATACAAGCACTTCCTCAAGAGCTGCCACGTCATCGACGGAAACGGCGACGTGGGCACGCTCCGGGAGGTCCACGTGGTGTCGGGACTACCAGCGGGGTCCAGCACGGAGCGCCTTGAGATTCTGGACGATGAGCGGCACGTGATCAGCTTCAGCGTGGTGGGCGGGGACCATCGGCTGACGAACTACCGGTCCGTTACCACACTGCACGACTCGCCCAACGGAGTGGGGACCGTCGTTGTCGAGTCGTACGTGGTGGACGTACCGCCGGGGAACACGAAAGAGGAGACGTGCGTGTTTGTGGACACAATTGTGCGTTGCAACTTGCAGTCGTTGGCTCAGATCGCGGAGAGTATGGCCAATAAGCCCACCACCAAGAAACCCTCATGAAATTTTTCACGTTTCATGATTCTTTTTTTTCCTTTCTTTAAGGCTCGATCTCTGCAGCTGGTTGAAAAATGGTCAAAGCTTGTTGTATGATATTGTGTATATTAATGCATGTTATAAATTACCTCTTTAATTTCCTTTACCATGTGATCTCAGATTGTTCAATCGATCTACATAACATTATTATGTTTGAATAGGCACTTTATGCAAAGGGGTTTTCATTTTTTTTTTTGAAAAAATAGGGATAGGTGTGGGACTCACTCCACATTAAATTTTAACAATTCGAATCATCTATTTTGTAAGTCTCGATTCATAGATTATTCTTGTAAAAATTCAATTCAATCGGAAATCATTTGCCTATTTAATTATCAAGATAAAATTTCATTATTTCTTATATAACAAAGTATTCGTTACCCAATTAAATGTCTTAAATATTTCTGATTTGGCTAATATTTTGCAAAGATGATCTATGTGGTGCAACTTAAAAAATAGATTGTTCGGATTATTAAAATTCCATTTGGTTTGGACCCCGCAACTAATCCCTATTTAAAAAAAAAAAAAAAAAAAATAGGAATCCCTTCCCTTAAAGGCCTCTTATGTTTGAAATATCATCTTATTATTTCATAAACTATGTCCAATTTCACGGTGCATTCATCCTTCTAATTTCTCTTGTTTCCTTTGTGTTTTGTTTTTTCATTTCTTTAAATGAGAAATAGTTTGCTTATGTAAGTTCTATATATTCCACTCAATACTACGGTTTGATGGTATTCCTTTTCACTTGGACACGAGAGGTCTTAGGTTCGAATTTCGTGGATGACGAATTCGATACTAAATTAGGCTGCCCATTGTGTGACTTTGCCGAACTCCCCCTCCCCTTAGTGTAAAAATATCAATGTACTAAAAAAAATGTAAGTTATATATATAGACCCTTTATGCAAAGGGATCTCTATTTTTTTTGAAAAAAAAAAAAGAGAATTAAGTGTGGGGCTCACTCCACATCGAATTTTAACGATCTGAATTGTCTATTTCGTAAGTCTTGATTCATAGATCATTCTTGCAAAAATTCAATTTAATTCGAAACCATTTGCCTATTTAATTATCAAGATCAAATTGCATTGTTTCTTATATAATAAAGTGTTCGTTCAATTCTTTGAACACAATTAGATGTCTTAAATATTTCTAATTTGGCTAATATTTTGCAATGATGATCCATGAGGTACAACTTGAAAATAAACGGTTCAGATTGTTAAAGTTTGATAAGGTGTGGACCCCACAATTAATCCCCATTTTTATAAAAAAAAATGGAGATCCCTTCCCTTAAAAGATTCATCTATATATATATATATATATATATATATATATAGGGAATTGTTATTAGCATTCCAAAAATCTCATTCTATACTTCAAACTTTCTATATTTGGAAAGAAAAGTACACTTGTGAGGAGTGTAGAATGAGATTATATTATTTATATTAAAAGACTATGTTAACAAAATTAATTAGAACTTTTCTACGACTTTGTCCATTGTTTGTTTCTTCAATGTTTACTCTTACTGTTTCTCTATATTGTATTATATATAAAGTCTTTAAAATGTATGTATTGTATTATATATATGAAGTCTTATAAATGTATGTTATAGGGTAAATGTGGAACTTGAGGACTAACCCTGGTTCCATTGAGGTTCTCCCTTCAGCTAATTCCGATAAAATGGAAACAACTATAGCAGATTGATCCCAGATAATAATAATATAGTATGCATATTTCTGAATTATATGTATATATAACTAATATATGATCTCTCTATTTCGAATCCACTTGAAACATCAAACAGGTTTTTTCAATAAAATCTCTTCAAACAGCCGAAGGATTTTTTGTTAAAAGAAAGAGTATATGATCTCTCTCTATACAGCTAATGAGCTTCGGATGCGTTTCTTTCCGTAAGCTAGTACTGTACACTATTATTAAAAAATGAAAGTTGGCTAAGAAATTGACTAATCCTTCTTCTCATATGTCATATATATCCGCAATGCCGATGAGATAACTGCTGTAAAGTGTGAAGATTCGCAACAATATTGCACTGGCACCGATGTGCAGAGACAGATAGTACTGTAAGTACAAGCAGAACAAGGTTAAAGTTAATGAATTACAATGTAGCTTCTATAAGAATCTTGATGCATGGGGGTGACCATGACCAATTGTTATAAAGAACACGATTTTTTGTTACAGTTTTACTTACTGAACATAATAGATAAGAAGAAACAGTGCAATCCAGAAAGTGAGTACGTCGGACCTTGCAAGAGGAGAATCAAAGGCTCGAAAGACCAATTATGTTATCAAAAATGTTATTTTTACTATCTAGTTGTACCACAACTTGTGTTATTTCTTAAATAGAGATGGAAACCACATGAGTTAACGAGATTCCTTTATATTAGAAAGATGATACAAGTGATGATACAACTAGATAGTAAGTATAGCACTACTCTTTATTTTATTGATACTAGCATGTTATATATATGGTACATATTATGAAATCAATCCTGAAATTCTTTTAACAAACAATATTATACATGTGAGAAAACATTACTTCAGAAAATAGTAATATAGTAAAATTCCCAATGGTCATATAAAAAATCAAAATAACTTTAATAAACATATTTCGACATTTTGGTTTGCCTACATGATTATTTTTTAATAACGATGACACAATAATAACATAACGACAACACAATGATAATATAATAACGACATAATAAACATGAATCATTTCCTACTATGAAATATCAAAATATGTTTATTATAGTTATTTCTCTTATCAAAATACTTAAATAGTAATTGTTCTACCATACACATACTCCGTCACTTAGATCCCTCAACAAAGTAATGGATCTAACGACTTTAAGTACCCAAGTGTGCCATACTCCAGACCCTATAAATAGATATGGTGTGCATATGTACATGCATTACCTACCAAAAAAAATTTACATGCATCAATTACTTGTTAAATTGATAAAAAAAAAACAATGAAAAGGTTTTTTTTATATAAAGGAAATGGAAAATTTAGAAATTGGACTAAGAAGATAGCACCTTGAAAAAACAGTCTTTTTTTTTTTTTATAAATAAATCAAGCTAACTTCTAAAACTTGATAATAAAAAATTAAAAAAAAACCCTTCTTTCTTTACTTGTTGTATTTATAAGTTAATACTCATTCATATTAAATCCCATAGGGTTTTTAGACGTGATTGAATGAGAAGGGTAAAAAATATATGGGGAGGGGCACTCAAGAACTAAAATTGATTTTGCAACTATTTAAGAAAGTCAATATAAGATTTTTTTAAAAGACAAAAAAAGGTGAGGAAGCATGTGCCCTCTGATCCTATGCTCCTGACGTCCCTAAAGATGTGCACGGATAATGCTAGGAAGATTAAATTTGTAAATTAAAAGACATAGAAGTTGATAATTGAATTTTACTTAAGTATTAATTAACATGCTTATTTCATATTGGTAACGCATAATTTAGTTTTCCAATTTAGTCTACAAATTTGACCACCCTAACATTACTCAAGGTACATATGATCTGATTATAAAAAATATATGATTTCATTTATTTTTTTTTGAACGAATATGATTTCATTATGTATGTCATTTTTTTTAATAAAAAATATACCTGCTTTCCGTTTCTTACCATAGCTTGAGGATCTAGTTGGCATTGTTTATTTTTAAGTAAGACGTACTACTAATTCATTTCAAATCTGACGTGTTATGTTTTATCGTCTTCGATCTTGTATTTTTACATAGAAGCACAGGCACGGAGCTTTTGAATATCGTATCATGTTGTGCTAAAGTGGTAATTGGCGATGTTGAGGAATCAATATTCGGTGCATTGGATTGCAACTTGACTTAAACAACGATCAAGTTGGTTTGGGAAGCAAAAGTAAGTTGCAAGTTTTGCCTCCCTTTTATTATATAAATTCTACCCTACATACGTTGTTTGTTGGAAGAGATATATAATCTCCATTAGCTGGCTGCAAGTTGATTAGCAAGTTGGCAAGGAGGCAATTAATGCTCCATCTTGTTTACAAAATCAAAGCCACCATTACCTCATCACTTACGAGAGATTTTTCGGGAAGATCGAAATACAAAATGGTACATTACGTGTCAATATATAAATGATGTGATATGTGTGTTAAAAAATTAATAACTTAAATATTAAAAATTTTCATCACTTATATAAAAACACTTGAAATACCACTCGTATTCCAATCACATTAAAAAATTTCTCATCACGTAAGTGCATGCGTGCCCCATGACTAATTTGACACGGTCAACCAAAACTCTAATATTTTGGTTGAAATTTCCTTCAACCAACCATTGTCTAAAGGTCCAAAAGACCGCTATATAAATATAGCAAGTTTAATTTCCATGATCAATGTAAGACCAGTCCAAAAACTGTAAACAATATCAACTCAGAAGTTTAGAGATCTCATATCCGAATGTTCCATTTCGATAAATATAAAAAACAGCTTACGACGGTCCACAAACTTTATAATTTTCTAGCTTGTAGGTGGTCCTCAATTTCCATTTTAGTCAATAGCTATATATTGAACGTACACATATATACACTATTAAAGGTACAGAAGAAAGTGTGTTTGTATGTCTATGCTGAAATTTGTCTTAGGGTTTAGAAAATTTATCCGAGTAATATATAACATAGCTAGTGACGATCTGAATTACAAGATCGAATTTTTATGTGCATGCGTATATAAATGAATGGCTTTCTGCTTGTCCTTCCTCAATTTTTGGAGACTTTTCCACTAATTATGCAAGAACATTATCAAAGCAATTGATGTTTAAATTGTCCCTTAAATTATGTGGTGTTTTCCACTAAGCAAAGATTTCGGGTCCCAAAGTACTCTTTAATCTTTTATTTTGATGAGTACTACTTTTGGTGATTAGAGTGCACGATTTGTATTATTTCATCAGCTTTATATATATGTAATGCTTCACAAATATATTTTTATGGGAAATTGGTTAAATTAAAGAATGTTGAAGATAATCTCAAATGTTAAACTGATCAATTTAATTGTTTACTATATTTTTCGGAAGTATAATCTAATATCACCCGCATGAGCATTTTTTACTAA